ACCACCCTGCCTCAAGGGCCTCCAAGGTAGGGGGAGACAAACAAAGTCATCGAGGTAGTGCAGAATGCTAAGCACTGAGGCAAAGAGTAATGGCAAGCACAGAGGGCATCTAAGTCAGGACAATGGGAGGGACAGGTCAAGAGTACTTCCTGCTGGGGAGGCTGGAGCTGACTTCTGAATAGAAGGTATGAGGCGGGTGAGGACAGACAGATCTGAGAAAGCAGAGAGACTTTTAAGAAACAGTGCAGGAGGCTGTGTCAGAGATGAGAGGGAGAGTAGTGGGTATGTGATGATCTTGAAGAGGTGGGGCCTTGTATGGTCTAAGAAACAAGGTTGTTCTTTGTCCTGAAATCCATACAGAGTCCTGAGGAATTTAAAACTGGTGATGGTGAAATGGTAGGGAACGTTTGCATAATCACAACTGCATTCTAGAAAGACCATAGACATGAAATGTGTTAGCTGGGTTAGATACAGTAAGACTATCAATCCACCACTGGGAACAGAGGCTGGACTCAGAAGACTGTCAAGGGGGTAAAGCTACAAGTCTCTGAGACAGACAAGGTAGGATTTAGGTTATCTGTGCTGACAGAGTGTAAGGTGGCCCCATGACTCCGACTTAGAGTGTGGGCAGGACCTGTGACTTGATTCTAGCCAAGATAATATAGCCAAGGTGGAGGGTTTTAGCAAATGTGATTAAAGTCCCAAATCAGTTGATTCCGAGTTAGGCAAAATGAATCCTGCCAACAACCCGGGGCAGCTTTGAAGCAGCTCCTTCCCCAGTTGAGCTTCAGATGAGAACACAACCTTCCACAACTGGGTTGCAGCACTGTGAATCCCTGACCACAGGACCTAGCTGAGCTGTGTCCAGATTCCTGACCCAGGAAACTGCAAGATGATAAATGTGTACTGCTTTAAGCTGCTAAGTTTGCAGTAATTTGTTATGGAGCAAGAGAAAACGAATACAACATCCAAGGTTCCCGGGTTGCCACCCTGGGAACAGCCGGTGAGCAAGATAGTCAAAGCTAGCACTTAGAGAGAATTTACTATATTTGTGATATGCCAGGAATGGCACTAAAATTTCACATGGCTCTGATTACCCACAATAGCAAGCTGCACTAATTGACCATTGTACAAAGGAGTCCTCCTCTTGAGAGACGTGAGCAGGAGAACCCATGTTTAGCAGCACATGGCTGCTGATCTTTTTTTCCCAAGCCCAGGCAAACAATCCTCAATCAGAAAGCAAGTGATTTGTGCTTTAGAAATTCCAGAATCTGTGGGCCCATAATCAAGGATTTTCTTCCTTTAGTTACCACCAGCTGGATTTTAGCAAGTAGCATGAAGCCTACTGAATTTTATGTTTCCAGCAGAGAGGAATGAGCCTCAAGACATTTTGGAATGCATCTCCCATTACATCTTCCATGAAATGACTCGCCCGAAAGGGAAGGCAAGAAATATTAAGACATTTTTCATTACTTACTCAGTTTTATTTAGGTGGACACAACAGTGAAGAACTCAAACATGGTTTGACCTTTATGTACAGACACAGCAGCCTGGATTTTCAGCCTTTCATTCTTCTTTAAATGAAAGTCAGCAGGCTCAAAATGCAGAGCTTGGCTAAGTGACTTCTGTGGAAATATGAAATATAATAGTGATAACCACCAAGGGCTTTCAAGATTCTTGTGTTCTTCTAAGGATCCTTTCTTAACACCATGATTTGTTCTCATCTTTGTGGAAATGAAACCAAGATGGCCTTAATTTGTAAAGTCCTTCTTCATCTGTTGGCAGTCTTCTTACAAAGGATGCAGCAAAAAGAACACACACTTTTCTTTCAAAGTTTTGAAGAAATATAGTCATTAAAAAGAATTTAAATTATGCCTAGAGCACCATTTTACAGAATACCATTAAATTGTAATTACGTGCTTTTAAAAAGCCAGCTTGTTAAAGAGTAGCTGATGGTTTCAGTTTTTATAGGGAACACTTGTAACACTGCAGAATTCTACAAGGGCTTTCTCCTCTGGTGGGCAGGGAAAAAAAAACACTCAAGTCATAAGAAACTTTTATAGCTTTCAGGAACTTGAAGAACAATTGCTGATTAAATTTCATGCTTTAGTGACGAAGTATTTTTACAGCTAAAAGAGGAAACCCGAAACATAATACATTTCATTTAAAGCAGGCAGAAAAACCAACCACAAATTAATATCTATTGTATTCCACATGACACAATATCATTGTTGTCAATCGTTTTAAATGGTTTCACTTTATTTGTGAAAAATAAAGCCAAAATGCCAACAACTTCTCAGAAGGAACCATTTCATCATCTCCATCCCCTCAGATAAAACCTCAACTACTGGTAATTGTACATTTCCATCAACATCCCCTTTTAAGAGGTTTATTATTTTAAAGCCTCAATTTCCCTAATCACTGAAAGGCAATCTTGAACTTGTATTGAATTTGGAAAGTGCTCAAGACTCACTCCATAATAAGAAGTTAAGGACCATCACTACTTAAGGTGGAAACCTATTCATTTGCAGAAATATTCCTCTCTCTACCAAGAGGCTAATGAGCCTCCCCTTCCCTTCTCCTTTCTAAAAATAAAATCACGTTTGCCTTCTAAAATCAAATCACAGTTGCCAACAAATTAGGATTTATCCTAAGAGTTTGTCCATTCATTTCAACAAACATTTACAGAATGCCTCATCTGGGCCAGTCTCTGTTTTAAGCACTTGTGATACAGCAGTGCATAAAAATTCTCACCCTTACAAACCTTTGATTGACCCAGGACTGACAATAAGGAAAACAAACCAAACACGAGCACATTTTTAAAAGGTGTCTAAAAATCTGCCTCTGATAGCTGAGCTAATTCTCACAGGCACAAACTGCCCTGACCTGAGCTCTCTCTTGGACAAGCAGTTCTCACAAACGAAACATAAACATGCAAACCAGACCCACTGAACAGGTGGAAGTTTCCAGCTTTCTCACAGTACAACTGTAAGGTAGGACATAGCATGTTATAGTGTTATGTCCTTCCTCCCCACATTCCTGTGAGGCGGAACAGGAACAATTACTTGACCCTGGAGGAAGACAATGCCTTGTGGTCAGGGAGAGAACAGCAGTTCATGCCGGCTGCCTGGTCTTTCTAGGCCCGCTGCTGCCCAGGCTTCCACTGACCTTGTTAGGTCTGACTCTAGAAAATGAAGGCAGGTACTCAAAAGGTACAGTTCACCCAGAAGAATGTAAATGTGACTGAGCTAAGCAAACGTACAGCTGAGTCTTAGTGTTGGGGGAAGTAGCTTTCATGAAGGCAAAGGGAGCCCCATTGTCTGCTGTGTGGCTTGCTCCTCAGCCGTTGGAGCACAGCTTTTTCAGAGGCATGGACTACAATGACCTCCTAAGGTGCACTGAAAATGTTGGCTGTAGATCTGAGGAGAGGGTCCATAGCTATAAAAATATTTGCAAGGGTGTTGTAACCCCTCGAAGTTTAAGAATCTCTATGATGGAAGTATCTGTCTATCCCTTCGTAAAAGTGAAGATGTGTTGGAACGCTGCTTTCAGAGTACTCTGTGTCCCTCCCAGCTGCAACACTTGTTTCCAGCCTGGTTCAGCAGCTTGCTGGTGGTTTACTAGGCAGACGTGAGCCAGAAACAAAATCAGCAACCCTGGAGTGGTCATTTAGGATCTGTTTGTCTCCTTTTACAAAGCAATGAGTGCTTTTATAAAAGCATTTCTCCTCAGGAAACTGACTCCTCAAAAGTCGTTCTCCAAGCCAGCAGCTCACAGTAGATGGATGAGTTCACCTGTCCTAAAAATACTTTTTTTTTCCAAGCTGAAAGGTATCCCCAGGCCTCCACACCAGCCTTCTGGGGCCCTGACAGTTGTTCAACAGTGGCTCCACATCCTCCACAGGCTTGTTCTCTCATCCCTGCGAGGGAAGGTTCAAAAGGCAACTGGATCCATTACTATTCAAAATCACTGCGACTATTTTGCACAAATTTCAACCTAGAGGATTTGCAGCTAAAGAATCTTAAGGTGGTCATCTGCCTCTGGGAAAAATGATAACTATATTCTCAAAACCAGCAGGTACAGAAACTACAGGAGAGAAAACAAAAATAACGTGGCCTCTCCCAAGAACACAGGGCATTTGCTAGGAGTTTTCTGGCATAGCCTTTACTGTGGCTACACTTTCTCCTCTTAGGCACCAGCCCATGTCTCTGCTGCCTTTTACTGGACTCTGAAGTCCTCAAGGATAGGACCTGCCTCTGCGTATCTGCACATCCAACCTGGTACTGGTGACTGGGACATCACAGACCCTACTAGAGCTCAGAGAGTGGGAATGGCTTGGAGACTTCCTGGTCTCCTAAAATATCAATTTTTACCATTTCAAAATACAAATGACGGATAGCCTACAGAAGATGAAGCTTTTTGTAAAAAAAAAATCATATCCTAGAAAATATATCTCATAAATCTTTTTAAATTTTCAAAAGAAACCAGTGTAGAAATTTGTGATGGAACATCTCAGATATGGCAATATAGTAATTTTGCAAATTCAATTATTTAGGTTACTGCCATTTCTAAGTCACAGCATAATTCAACAGTAATAAATATCATGTAACAGGATAACTTAAAGCACTGATTGCTGCTTTGATATTTATCATCAGCTTTCCATTTCAGAAAACATCATAGAACTACAAATAAAATCTGCTTTTCTGAATATTCTGAAAGGCAGACAGCAGCTTATATAACTTCCGTTCTTCAGAAAACAGTAATTAGATTATGTACACAACTGTCTGTAAGAGCCAAAAGTAAACTTGGAGGTTCCTGAGGATTACTCAACTTATGCAACGTGCTAACTTTCTAAGACTAAAACTGGGAAGTTCCACAGATGTTAAAGATTTTTTTGTGTGTATGTGTAAAATGTGAACATAGGATTTACATAGTTGGAATTGGGAACAGTTTTGAACATTTTCTGAATCAGCTTTAAATGTTTATGAAATAAGCTTACATTTGTCTTATCCAACCATTTGTAATCTTTATTCTATAATTCTCCACCAGTGCTAGAATTTTCTTCCCAAATGGCCTCAATTCGGACACTGAATAAACGAAAATGAATTTTTTAAAGCTGTGCTTAAATATAAACAAAATAAACTGCTAAGTTTTTCTGGCTTCAAGCACGCCATATGAAGCACGCCAATGTCACTCACGTGCCCTGATCACATTCAGGCCAAGTGGTCTTCACTTTAAATACTCCTATGTTCCATTACTGTTTAAGTAAAATCCTGTTTCAAATGCCTTTGATAACAGAGAAACATCCTGTAGACAAACTCTCCAAAAGTGACTGAATTAATGTCTTCTGTGATGTCAGATTTCCCCCCTGGGCTCTTTTGGAAGCATTCTTCCTGAAGTCACTGTGAATATCCTTTAGATTTCATCTTGTTAACTCAGTTTTCAGTCAGAGCAGCGCTTGGGCCTGCTGCCCTTCAAGGCATAGTGCAACAAGTAGTGGTGACGGGACTTCCATCAACCTTACAAGGTTGACAACTAACAGTGTAAAGAGAGTTCGAATGTGGGCCAAGGCATCGAACCTTACACCTAACTTAGGACACAGGTCGATCTATGGATCATTAGCCAGTGAATGCTTTTCTTGTCTAATGGTCTTTAAGGGCACATAAGAAACTCATGTTAAATTATATCCCGACATGTTATTATTCCATGAAACCAAAACAAATCTCCCAACGTGCTTGTTTTCCAGTAGCTCTGGGTCTTGTCTCTGCTCCGAGGCTCTGACAGGGCTACTGCTCTTGACTAATCGTTCTTGTCTTTCTGCTTTTCATTTGATGAGGACTTACATATAGTTACTTGCTGCAGTTTACTTATCTCTCAGGTGCTTCCTATGGGAAGATCATAAACCATTCTTCCATAACCTTTTGTTGATCATCATTTCCATTAGGGACTCAGTAAGACATGCTCAATATCTTCACCAAGAACCATTTATTGCAAATCAGCTGTGAAACAACAGGGGTGCTTTAGCCAAATTAAATCCTATGTCACAGATGTCACAGATTTTCAGCTCAAGGAAAAAAATCATCAGCAAGAAGAATCCAGAAGTCTCTGTCGGGCATTCTTCTTTCCATTATTTGCTTTAATTTCACTGTCTATGTTCATATCTGTCAAAATTGAAAACAAATATTTATGACAGAAATATAGCAGGAATTATCAATACTAATCAATTTCTCTTCTGCCAAAAATTCCTCTCACAGTCTATACCATGTTTTGCTTCTTAGCCTAACTTCAGAGCACAGTGAAGTTAGGACAAGAAAATGAATCAATAAACTTTCAGTACCCTTTAAAAGAGAAAGTCAAAGAGTAACAGAGGAGATCAGAAGTACAGAGAGGAAAACCAGTAAGATAAGACAAAAATAAGCAAGAAAGACAAGGAAGAGTGCTGAGCAAGACAGAGTGTGAGACAGAGAGAGAAGAGGGAAACACCAGAAAAAGCACAGAAGTTATCCTTCTTTGGAAATGTAGAGGAGCACCAATTATTTTCCTCTCTCTCTCAATACTGAGGGGTTCCCACCGCCTCCCCCCAACCTTGGTATTAAGGTTTTTAATGCTTGGAAATGGTTTAAATGATGGGCAGGGTAAAGACTGTCAATATTCCCACAAGGCTGCTACAAAAGCTCTTGGTGGGCTCCTGTAGCCTCTGCCAAAAGCAAACCCTACCTTTGAGCTCTGCTGTCTGGTTCCCCTGCTCCTCTCTCGTCTCTGCAGACGTGGGAGTTTTGCCATCAACAATATCCATCTTGATCATGCCAAGGTTTGTCAGGAGTAGCATTGGGTCGATCCCCTGACCACTGCTCTTAATATTCTCCAGTACCTTAAGACACTTGTATGACTTGACTTCACTTATATTTTCCTCCAAGAAGAGATTGTAGAGGCTCAAATCGTTGTACCCTTCAGATTTGAAATGCAGAACATCAAAAGTAGGGAGGATTTCGTACACTTTGAGAACATCTGTCTTCTGTCGGAACGGAACAAACAGCGTGTAGATAACCACGGGAGCCAGCAGGACATAAACCACAAGGTTAATGACACTGAGCAACTGGAAGACGCCCACGGCGATGAGTTTGCACTGAAACTGATCGGGCACGGTGCTGTCGTTTCTCAGGATCCCTGATTTGATGCTGCACACAAACTCGTCTGAGAGTGAGGAGAGACTGAAGTAATAGCCCAGGTAGATACACGCTAAAAGTATAATGATGAGTGTCAGCAGACGGCAGCTAATGTACTTAATGATTAAATTATTAGAATTTTTCTTTGTCTTCAAGTACTGCTCCACAATTGGGTACTTGAAGTGGCTTTCAGATATCTCCCACAAACTAAAACATAAGGGAAACAAAAATAACGTAGGCACTCATCAAGACCATCAAATATTAAAGGCAGATACACATTCAACAATGTCACACTAAAAATTTCAAACACCCATACTTCTTTACCTACAACTTCAGTAGAGTGGTCAAAAATAAAATCCGTTTAAAAGAGGAGGAAGAAAAGGAATAATAAAATACTTTTCCCCTTAATATTTAATAGAAGGCCTAGTTAATTAAATGAGTTAATATTTGGAAATTTTTAGAATGATGCCTGGCATCTGGTAAATCCTAAATACGTGTAAACATACGCCTCTTACAGGCGAGGGGTGGGACAGCTCAGGGGGTGTGGGCACAAACTATGGGGTCTAAAAGGCATGATTCAGTTTCCAGCACTCTTACTTATAGCTACAGAAGAGTGTTTTTATCCAGAATAAAAGTGGAGGGGGAGGTTAACAAATGCACTTTGTAATGATGCTCTGAGGGTTAAAGGAGATAATGTACTTAAATAACTCAATACGGTGTGTGGGATATATTAAATATTCAAAAAATGATGGTTCTTAATATTATTATTCCAATTATTCAGTAACAAGAACCAAAGGAAGAATGTGAAAAGGCAGGGCACAACCTACTCCTTCCCCATTTCTCTCTCATCGCTTGCTCAGCTGCCTTGAAATCCTCTGTGCATCTCCATTAAGGAGTTAAATCGATCAAAGCAAGCAAGCCTCATATAGTACCTAAATCTGTTACCCCTACAAGAACTGCATTTTTAAAATGAGATGGTAACGTTTCACTCATCAAGGGAAGGAGTCTTGACAGAAGGACAAACAAATGGGTGGGATGGGTCGGGGCGAGATTTGGGGGGAGAGGACATCCCTGGATCCTACAGGCTGTCACTAGGTGCATGACATCCCCCTGCCTCCGCTCCTGCCCCACCTCCTAGCAGTGAGAACTCTGGGCCCAGACTGGCAGTAGAAGGGCAGAGAATTTGTCCTACAAAACCCGATGAGCTGCCTGCTGGGGCTAAGTTACCTTTGCCCCAAGTTCTCGGCAACACCTGGAACTGAGCAGGCTCCATCTCTCATGTCAAGGTCACATGCACTCTTTGCAGCCTTAATTGCACGGTTGTAAACTTTGTCAAGTTCTTCCATGATAAACTTCAAGTCTGAGCAAATATGAGGAGCAGCTGCAAAACGCCAGAACAGTGGGGGCAGGTACAGGAGGATCGCAAAGAGCAACAGGATGTAGGGGAAAAACTGAAAAATAAGAGAACAAATCATGGGCTTGACAGAACCCCCACGCAGTAACCTAATGGCACCAAGTGATGCTCTCATTTTCTCACATCTTGAGACCAACGTGCATTGTGGAAATTGGGCTCATTACCTAATAACTACTTCTTATGGCTAAATTCCCCTGTCCAGGTAATACCTGACACTGGTAACTACCTATTTTTTTTAATTCCATAGGTATTAATTTGAAGTAATCAGCAACTGCATGGTGATACATGGTGTGCACGTTCTAATCACAGAAGGAAAATAAAAAAATAAAATTACTCCCATTCCCTGAACAAAATCCCAGTTAAAAAACCTGTAACTATTACAAAGGTTTCTGCTGGGTTTTTGTTGTTTAATTTTTGTGGTTTTAGGAAGCAACTAAGGCATACGGCTCCATTTTTGCCTTCCTGTGGAATCTGGGAAAATGCCAAAGAAACATGTAACTTCCCCCAAAACAAATTAGAAAAGCTTTGACTTCAGTGATTCAGTAATCATCCCAATAAGACAGCTGAAATAAGCAGTTGAATTAACAGAATGCAGAATGAACATGGAACAGACTTTGAAGGAAGTCCAACACCCTCATTGTATAGTTGGATAAACTGAGGCTCAGAAAGGCCATCCACAACGGGCAAGGGAATCAAGAGGAGAGCGTCCAGATCAGGGTGCAGACACACACCAAACAAGAGGGGATTCGCACGTCAGAGAGGGTGGGGAGCACCCCAGTAACCAAGACCACCGGTTGGTCAGAGATGGCTTAGCCTCAGCAGAAGACTTAGGAAGACTGTAAACGGCAGTCAGCACAGATCTGAACTGAAGCTCAGCACTGTGGCCTTGGGGAGTGAGGTTACCGAGCCTCTGACCCTCAGTTTCCTTATCTATGAAAAGGTCATGGAATAGAGGTGTCATGAAGATTAAAGGAGATAATTGATGGAAAATGCTTAGCAAAGGGCCTGGCATGGAATAGGCACTCAAACACTCCAGGTAACCACAAAAAGGTTAGCTAGGTGGACATGTTACGCTCAATCCTCACAGCAACACTGACAAGGACTCTATATATGGCTCCATTCCGCAAATGGGAAGAGAAAGCCGGGAGCAGTTTCTGGCCCCAGATCACAAAGCTGGTGAGAATCAGACTATGTTGCCAACCTCTCTGAACCCAGAGACATCTTCTTCCAACTGAACACACTCTCAAGTACTTTACTCCTCTGGAAAACTTCTCCTTACTTTTGGATGGGTCTATCTCCACCATTTCTCAGAGCTGTAACAGAAGAGGCCATGATGGCCTTAAGTTGACATGAAAACCTCCCCCGCAAACATTTCTGGGAGTGGACGGCAGACCCCACAACGTGACCCTCACTGTAATTTCAGACGTACGGGGCATTCCCATCAGCCTCTCACTCAGTTTCCCCCATTGCTAATGACTCACATTTCTGTGATACATTTGTCAAGACTAAGAAGCCAACTTAGTTGGCTTAGAAGACTATGTGCCAATGCACATGCCATTATCAGAAACTAAACTTCAGACTTCTATTTGTAAAGTACACTGGTTGTTTTTCCACTATTGTCCTCTTCCTGTCCCAAGATCGAATCCAGGGTACCCACTGCATTTAACTGCCATGTCTCCCTAGACTCCTTGGTTTTGTGACAGTTCTTCAATCTTTCCTTGTTTTTAAGTGCATAAAATAATATATACAGGTTCACAAAAGAAATAGAATATTGATATGCAGTTATCAAAATATTAATATTTTGAATCCACTTCTTTATTCATACTTAAAATAGGATCTAGCAGATGATCTAACAGCTATTGACACTTTGAAGTTGTGAAGAGCAAACGATATTCCAGGATATCTGTGATTTTCTGTGGGTGACAAACTCACAGGTACTGCTAATATCACTATGGATTGTTGCCTACATAAAAACTTTTTTAAGCTAAATTTTATTGGAAGTGAATAAAAAATAAAGCTGTCATATATTTTCCTATCCTAGTTTGCAGGCCTCCTGTCACTATCACAGACCCACATAAGGAATCTCTGCCCCAGACGCAAGAGAGAAATAAGCACAATTGGAAGTGAATAAAAAATAAACCTGTCATATATTTTCCTATCCTAGTTTGCAGGCCTCCTGTCACTATCACAGACCCACATAAGGAATCTCTGCCCCAGACGCAAGAGAGAAATAAGCACAAATGGCCCCAAAACTTTGCAAAGCCCTCTTACCAAGACAGCTGCTTTACTTTGGCATTCTGGCATGGGATGAGGTGTCTCAAAAGTATTAACCCAACTTGCAAAGGGCCGCTACACAATGACACACACAGCAGGTTGTGATTAGCTGAATTTTGGCTGCATAATTCATAGCTGGCTGTGGGGAGAAGGAATGTTCGTTTAATTCATGCCCAATCGGAAGGGTGCCCATTAGTTTAAAAACATAACTGTATGACACAGAATTTCTGCTGCTTCTATAACCATGAAAGCCAGGCATTCTATCTGGAAACCACAGGGAGAAAACTGTATCTAAAATGGGCTTGTGAAACATCTATATAAGTCACTTTTGTTTCAAAGCTATTTGAATAACGGCATTTCACCTCAAACTGTTCCCTTGAATTAATAAGTGACTATTTACGGTCTGTGGCATTTTTAAACATGCCCAGTGGCACAATACTTTGGTACAATAAGTGGTATAATGAATAGCTCAGCACAGCTCATTGTAATTAGAAAAACAAATTACATATTAGGTATAAATTTCCCTAAAATATCCTTGTACCTTGATCACCACTATAGTAACGTCATTTAATGCCCCATATCTTGGTTGTCTCCACGCTTAAACCTCTTTTTATTTATTTTTTTCCCACCAAAAATAAAAAGGCAACTTCCAGTGAGTCTATAAAAATGTAGTAAAACAGGAAATAAGAATCCAAAAAAACCCATAAAATTAGTCTTTGAAATCCTTTTGACCAAGTAAGAAATATGGAAAAGCTGCAGGGCTTTGAGGGTGCATCTGCAGATGGAAACTGCTTTGTTCCTAAGCTGTGTCAACTCCACATTAGGCCTGGGATGCTCAGCATCTCTTGAAGCCATGATGGCACTATTTTGCGCGATGCTCGAGTGAGTATTGAGCTCTTCCAAGAATAGGGAAACTTCTCAAATCCTTGTGGAACCAAGCAGCTGTCCAACTACAATTTTCAATCTATCTGCCTTAAAAATGTGTGCTGTTTCTGGAAGGGGTGATAGTTAGAACAACAGAAACCTCCAGATGGAAGGAACCTAGAGGGTGAGCCAGTACAACTTCCCTCCATATTCAAATCCTCTCTACCTCATCGACGGCACAGAACCATCCAGTTCGGACTGAACAACTCCTCCCCTAAAATGCATGTAACCTCATCTTACGAGATTCAGTGCTGATGGGTAAATTCACTCGAAAACATCTTCTGGGGACCTGCTATGTGCCAGGCAGTGGGCTGGATGCATGGTCCCCGCAGACTAGGCGCAGAGTCTACCCCAAGATCACACAGGACAGGTGGGAACACAAGCTGGTCATTAAATCATCAAAACATGTAGGTACTAAGTACTGAGGCAACAGAAAAGTCTCCGGGGAGGTGGTCAGGGAAGCTTCATAAAAGAGGTAACACCTGAAATATGTCTTAAAGTACAGTGCGGCAAAAAACAAAACAAAGCCTTCTGTTAAGACTCAGCACAAATGTCACCTCTGTGACCCTTTGGAATCCTCTTTCCTCTGCTTGGAATCCTTTCCTCCTTGCTTGTCTGTTGAATTCTCACTCATCCAGAGCACCAGGGTAAATGAGCAAGCCTGTGAGTGAGGAAGTGGCCAGAGCAGAGGCCAGAAGGGCGTGCTGGGTTGAATACTGCCCCCCACCCCTAATTCATGACCACCGGGAACCTCAGAGTGTGATAGTGTTTGGAAATAGGTCTTTGCAAATATAATTAGTTAAATTAAGATAAGGTCATGATAAATTAGGGTGGGCCCCGGTCCAGTGACTTGTATCCTTATCAGAAGGCCAAATGAAGACATAGAGACAAACAGGAAGAAGCCCTGTGGTAACAGAGGTAGAGACTGGAGTGATGCATCTACCATCCTAGGAACACAGGACTGCCAGCAGCCCACCAGGAACTAGAAGAAAGCACATCACAGATTCTCCCTGGATGCACCAAAAGGAGTCGAGTCAACTCTGGCAACACCTTGACTGTTCTGGTCTCCAAAACTAGGAGCAAATCCATTTCTGTTGTGGTAATTTGTTACAGCAGATGAAGGAAACTCACAAAAAGAGTAAGCAGAGACTGAATTAAGGCGGCCACAAATTCCCACACCATACACAATGGGGTACCACTGGTGGAGGGCATAATCAAATATATTCCAGAAAACCACTATAGAGGCAAAGAAGAAACACACAGGAAGGAGAGAGACCAGGCAGGAGGTCACTGTGGCAGAGAGGCAGAAAGAGAAGACAGATCTGAGAGCAACAGATGGGGAAGACAGTTCAGTGTCCACACAGAAGAGGGGGGTGGAAAAGGAGAAGAACTGAGGATCACACTGGGTGTGCAGCTCATGCAAGGCCATGGGGGTTGGAACCATCAGGTGAAATAAATGAAGAGTCCCAGATTCAGAGCAGATGGGAGTGAGGTGGGAGGCAGACCTGAGAAGACGAGAAATTTTGAACATGAGACACCTGCGGTCAAAACGCCCTGGTGTGTAGTAGATAACTGAAAGTAAAGAAAAATAATCTAGCTGTACAATTCAGGATTTGGTGGCACATATGTGGTCAAAGCCAACTGTATGGTTAAGATAATCCAAGAAGAATGGGCAGAAGGAGAAGACCATGGACAGGCCTGAGACCCTATAACATTTAAGGGTCGGGCAAAAAGAGAATCTTGGAAGAAATGGACAAAAGTGGTCAGAAAGTAGGAAGTAGGTGAACCAAGAACGTCCTGCACTGGGGAAGTGAAGTAAAAAGATGCATGAAGGATGTC